TTCCCCAAAACCCTCTTCTGTCTGACCATTTTCTAATAACTTTTGAATTTCCATTAATGGATTATACTCTATGTGGGAAACAGTTCCACTACAATAGATGTCTATCTGACAATGCTTTTACCAAGTTTAAGGAAATAATTCCATCATTACTTGCTTCATTGCCATTCCCCAACTCAGTGGAGGGAGACCACCTTAACTTTATTCCCACACAAGTCGATAATCTTGCTGATACTACTGCAGTCTCCCTGCGTAATACATTTGATGTCGTTGCTCCTGCAAAGAAGAAGGCAGTGAAACAGAGGAGGCTAGCCCCGTGGTACAGCTCGCATCTCCACTCCCTAAAGCAGGCATCACGAAAACTGGAAAGGAGGTGGCGCTCCACCAATTCAGAAGACTTTTTCATAACCTGAAAAGATAGTTTGTTAACATATAAAAAAAGCCCTTCATAGTGCCAGAACCGCATTTTATTCATCACTGATAATGAAGAAAATAAGAACAATTCCAGGTTTCTTTTCAACACTGTAGCAAAGCTGACAAAGAGCCACAGTGCTGTTGAGCTTAACATTCCCGTAGATCTCAGCAGCAATGACTTCATGAGCTTCTTTACAAATAAAATTACAACTATTAGACAAAAAATTGATGAGACCATTTTCACAGATTTCAGGGCTGTGCCATCTACTACAATGGCTTTAGAAACATCTGTAAGACCTCATTTATACTTGCACTACTTCTCTCCCATAAATTTGTGCTGACCTCAACAATTTCTTCATCTAAATCACCAACATGTTTCCTGGACCCCATCCCAGCCAGGCTGCTCAAAGACATCTTTCCCCTAATCAACACATCCATATTAGATCTAATTAACCTCTCTCTATTAACAGGTTATGTTCCACAAGGTTTTAGAGTTACAGTAGTTAAACCTCTACTCAAAAAGCCTACTCTTGACCCAGGTATCCTAGCTAATTATAGACCAATATCCAATCTCCTGTTTATTTCTAAAATCCTTGAAAAAGCTTTGCTAAGCATTTATGTGACCACTTGCACAAGAATGATTTGTTTGAGAATTTTCAGTCAGGCTTTAGAGTCCATCATAGTACAGAAACTGCATTGGTGAAAGTCACCAACGATCTTCTCCTAGCCTCAGATAAAGGACTTGTCTCCATACTTGTCCTTTAGATCTCAGTGCTGCTTTTGACACCATTGATCACAGCATCTTACTGCAGAGACTTCAAGATGTTATTGGCATTAGAGGAACTGCACTAAGTTGGTTCAAATCTTACCTATCAGAAATATTTGAGTTTCTTCATGTCAATGATGAATCTTCCACACCTGGTTCACTTGTCAGATGACCTTCCAGATCTTTACATGCTATCTTAGTGTTCAAATTAATGGCACAATTCTACCTCAGCATGCTTTCATCTATTTCAGGTATCAACATGTTCAGCTCTTCAAGGACATTCATGCTTCTATTCAAAAATTTTTCTCAACTTCATACTTTTGAAATATTTAGCTTTATTTTGAAAGTTTTGCACCATTCAAATGAATGGCGAAATTCTGCTTCAGCATACTTTCAGGTATTTCAGATATCAGAATGTTCAGCTCTTCAAGGACATTCATGCTTCTATTCAGAATCTTTCTGAAATTAATAATTTTGCAATATAGGACAGTTACGCTTGTATACAACTTTGTTATAACTTTTATACATAATGTGGATCCGTAGCTCCATATAGCTTAATGCGTTATGTAAACATATTGCACTATACTGCCCTGTTATGAACAAGCGTGGACTGACAGGAATTATATCAGAACCGAACCAAGGTAGGATTATATGAATTTAATTTGAACAAGTCAGGGGTTCACCATAGCATTTCCATTAGCTGCTAACTGCTTTGAGGCCTATTTGGACATAGATAGCATTTTGGTTGAAAGCTCCTGCTGCTCACTGTGAAGAGATTATTTCGATCGCACTTATCGTTTTTGTTCAATTGTCAATTCTTTATCAGAACGTGTTTCACATTGTAGCAGGTCCGCTAACAGCAAACCGCTCGTCGTTGAAATACATTCGTGGCTCTGATTATAGTCATTTTACTCAAATGCAATAGGATTGTGTGAACAAACG